AACCGGGTGTAACAGCCGAGCAGGGTCATTATGGGCTGTTGTAAAGAACCAGCCCCCGGGGCTGAGCCCTGGGGCTCCCTGAGGAGCTCAGCGTAGGAGACGTCTCAAGGAGCAGCCCAGCTCTGAGTTGAAGACAACCAAATCCACGTGGATCTTCAGCTCTTCCCAAGCGAATCCCATTCCTGGCCCCATCCCGGGGGGGTTTTCTTTGGCACTCACCAAACCTTTCCCTCTCCTCTCTTGCAGATGTGCCGGGCGGCGCTGGCTGCTGGCAAAACCAGCTTCTCCGTGCCACAGTGAGTCCCAGGCTTTATGGATTCAACTCTTCCCTAAAGGAATCCCATCTGAGGCTTTGGGAGCTTGGGTGCTCCATCCCCTGGGTGATTCCATGCTTAGGGAAGGGCTGGGGGAGCCTGGCTGGCTGCTGAGGGGCAGCAGCACCCTGTCATGCACCCAGAGAGGTTTGGGAGCTGCAGAAAGCTCCCACTTCCTGCCCTCCTGCTTCCAGACTTTGGGAGAAATGGTTCTTTCCTGCTACATGGGGGCTGTAAGTGCAATTACAGCCTAATCCGGGGAACATTTAACACCAGGAGCAGCAGGCAATTCCCATGGCAGGGAAGAGCAGGGTGGGTGTGATGGAAGGTGTCATTGCTCTCCTGTACCCCCATCTGCAGGGAGCGCAGCCAGTGGATCCCTTGGGATTGGCACGATTCCCTTGGGAGAGCTGGAGCCGGGGAAGCTGCAGCAGCAAAGCTCCATCTCCCCACACTTCCCATCTCCTCTTCTCCACAGCGTTGTCCCGATGGGAACGACGGCCAGGGAGGAGATGAGCCGCTTCTGGGAGAAGAACACCAAGTCCAACCGTCCCGTGTCCCCTCACGTCAGCATTTACAAGTAGGAGCAGCCACCGTGGGGCTCTGGGGTCCCTCCGTGGGGAGACCCCTTCTTGGGGGCCACCTCCGATGCTTTTCCAGGCTCTCTCCGTGCCCAAACCCTGCCCCTTTGCTCCCAAACTGCCTCAGCCTTCTCCTGGTCCATCTCCCTTTAAGCTCTCCCAGCCCAGCCCCTTCCCAAGCCAGTGCCAGCGGCATTTACCATTCCCGAGCTGCCTCTGCACATTCCCCTTTTGCTCTGGGTGGATTCCTGGGATAGCTCCGAGTGCAGGAACACCCCCCTTGGGACCAGAGGGGCCTTTCCTGCCTGCTGGGACCCAGGGTGCTGACGAGGTGGTTGTCTTGCAGGTGGTCCCTGCCCATGGCGATGTCCATCACGCACCGCGGCACCGGCGTTGCTCTCAGCTTAGGTGAGCCCCGGGAGCCAGGGATGTCATTCCAGGGCCTTTGCCACTGGGAAACCTCTGCTTTGACATCGAATCCCAGCCAGGGATGGCTGGAAGGGAAGAGCTTCTGCCTAAGATCCCATCTCAGTGTCCCCTTGGCCTGTCCCTGCAGGTCCCTGTCAGGATAAAGGCTCCAGGTGGAGCTCAGAGGATTTTCCTTAGTGAGTTTTCCCACTTCCTGCTGCTTTCCCAAAGATCCCAGTGGGGGAGAAGGTGGCAGCAGCATCCAGCCCCCTCCATCCGTCTGCCCTGCAGGGTTTGACTGAGTGAGGGGACATCTGAGTGCAAAAGGCTCCTTCATTTCCATTAACAGCCTCTCAAGGCAGCAGGAAGGAGCTTTTCCAGTAGCTCCCTGTTGAGATGGGGGAGCCGGGATTTGTGGAAGGGCTTGGGAAGGACAGGTGGGAATTGTCTTCAGAGGGAGAGGGAGCAGCGAGGGCTGCAGCCCATCCCCATCCAGGCTTGGGAACTGGGCACCCACTGGCCCCATCCAGCTTGCTGGGAGCTGGCAGGTCCCTGTTGCCTTTCTCCTCCCATCCATCGGCTTCTGCCGGAGTGGGAATCATCCCACAGGATCATCGCTTCTGCCACCAGCAGTGGGAGAAGGGGGGAGATCCCATTCCCTTTCCATGCAGGCTCCATTAGGGAGCTTCTGGCTTCCTGTGCTGGCGGGAGGTGAGCACAGAGCCCCCCCCGAGGGGACGAGTGGCTCAGGAGGGGGAATCACTGCTTGATCCTTCCCCTTCCTTCAGCTGCACCAGCTGGAGGAGCCCTCTGGGCCTAGGAAAGAGGAGGATGAGCAGGGAAAGGAGGAGGAGGAGGAGGAAGGGAAGGAGGAAAAGGCGGGGGGGGAAGCAGGACCCACCTTTGGGGCGACGCCGAGTCCTCAGCACCCCAGGGTGCAGCCACCCTGTGTGGGTCCCCCTCCACCGGTGCCATTGAGGCCGTGTCCCCACAGCACACACCTGGGGGTGGCCGAGGGCTCTTTGGGGACAGGGTGAGGGGGGGTTCCAGATGCTTCTGCTGCTTAACCCAGGGCTTTGTCCTCCTCAGGGGTGTC